GACAGAGGTCATGGCCAGCTTTTTTTTCTTTTAAATGAAATAGAATAGACTAGAAAATTGTCAGAGAGATAAAATTATATTGTTTGGTGAAATTATTCCTCATTTACAACATAATGTGTGCCTGAAAGATGCTGTAAAATTTATTTTGTACTTAGGTCACAGTAAAGAAATGTGCCAGGCAATGGCCTAAGTGTATTACCTGATTTATGGTATTTCACCAAATCTAAGATGCCATTGATCACAAGTCACATCATCATTTTATGCAGATGTGAAAATTTTATGTAGGAAAGAAAATGCTGCCCATTAAATCATGACAAAATGCTTTTTTTTTATCACTTAGAAGTTTACTTTTGTTTAAAATAATTTACTTAACCTTACTTAACATAGAATTAATGTGCTTGATGCTAAAAGAAAGGTTAGCAGTTTGAGTCCACCCAGAGGTGCATTGGAAGAAAGACCTGGTGATCTACTTCTGAAAAATCAGCCATCGAAGACCCTATGGAACACAGTTCTACGCTGACACACATGGGGTCACCATGAGTCAGAATTGGTCTCACCCGTGTCAGAATACAAGTACACTCTGTAGGGTTTTTAAGGACCTTTTGGAAGCAGATCACCAGGCTTTTCTTCTGAGGCACCTCTGGGTAGGTTCAGAACGACCAGCCTTTCAGATAGTACTCCAGTGCTTGAACATTTGTGCCACCCAGGGAATCCTTACTCTGTCATACGTATGGAAATTGTAGAGCATAATGCTTATGAGCAGAATGTTGGGACCCACGTGGCTGATACTGACCCCTGGGTCTGCCACATCTGACCCACTGTGTGACCTTGGGTACACCAGTGAGGATCATGTTGGGGCTCAACCTCACAGAATGTGTTTCTTGGGTGGAAGAGAACATCTAAAGTATTCACAAAGAACTTAGAACTAAGAGTATGCCCATAAGCATTGAACTTCTTTTCTCTAAAATATCCTGCTCAGAGATAGTAATAACAAAAATCATAGCATTTGCATGGCGCTCTTTATTTGGCAAAAAGCCTGTTTCAGACTCCCAGTCTCATTGCATCCTCCCCAAGCCCCAGCAGGCAGGGGTTATTTCTGTGCCCATTTTGCAGATGAGGGCAGGGAAGTTGGACTCACCCAGCCCTGCAAGTGTCCAGGAGCTGTAGGAGGAGAGGGTGGCAGGAGTGTCTGTCCTGTTGACTCGGTCTTTTTTTCTCTTTTTCAAAGTCGACATATACCGTCCTGGACTTCATCCCCTTCCTTTTCAACCAGATGCCCCCAGAGAGCCCCCTCCTCTCGGCCCACAGCTCCTACCAGTGGGAGCTGCGCTTCACCTCTCCCGACTGCCCGCTGTTGCCCGCCCAGCGTCCCCGAACGCCCGCCTCCCTGGCCGCGGGGGCCTTGCAGCTCGCGGCTTGCGCCACGGTTCTCCTGGAGACCTACGCCCACCGCCTGCGGCACGCCATCGCCGCATCCTTCTTCACCGCCCAGGAGGCCAGGAGGATCCGCCACCTTCACGCCCGGCTCCAGCGAAGGTACGACAAGCACCTTCAGGGGCGCCTTCCTACTGTGAATCCGGCGTAGGTAAGCAGAACTACTGCATGCTTGACACTTTGAAGAACAGCGAGCAGGGGCCAGAGGGAAAGAGCTGTGGAGTCTCACACCCCTGAGTTTTCATCCCTGGCCCCTCTGCTGTGTGACCTTAGGTAGGTCACTTCACGTCTCTGACCCTCTGTTTCCACATCTGGATAGGTTATGGAAACAATTGATGTGACCAGCTTTCTACACGGGAATGCAGTAAAGGTGGAATGAGATATTGGGCATGAACGTCCTGGGTAAACAGTAAAGGACTACTCGGAGGGGAAGTGAAGGAAGAGCAGAGACAGCTCACGGCTCCTCCAGACCAGTGGGAAAGTGATCAAAACTCTCATCTCCATCAACTGCTTTAACGATTAGGTGCAGACTTTGCATGGTGAATTTGTCTAAAGGCCCCTGGACCTTATTTATATGCCTCTGAATCCTCCTTGAACTTATTTATAGTAATTTAAATTTTCTTGATTTTATAAATATATTTATTAAATCCTAAATTAGATTCTGTTACTCCTTTAAGTCCAATTCCTTCAGGGGCTCCCCATCTAGGGTTGCCAGGTTTAGCAAATAAAAATACAGGACACAGTTAAATTTGAATTTTAGATAAATAATGATAATAAACAAATCTGTTTTGGAGGAAGTACAGCCAGAACGCTCCTTAGAAGTGGGGACGTCAAGACTTCTTCTCACTTACTTTGGACACATCATCAGAAGAGGCCAACCACAGGAGAAGGCTGTCATGCTTCATAAAGTAGACGGTCATCGGAAAACAGGGAGACCCTCAATGAGATGGATTGACACAGTGGCTCAAAAATACAGATGATCATAAAGATGGTGCAGGACGCGACAACAGTTTGTTCTGGTATACGTAAGGTTGCTATGAGTCAGAGCTGACTCTACAGCACCTAACAACAACCATGATAATAAATAACAAAATAGACATAAAGAATGAAAATTAATTATTTAGTATAAGTATGAGCCATGCAATACTTTTGGGGGTAGGGGTGGCATTATTCTGCCTACCACACTCTCCTTGTGACATCCTTTCCTTCCCCACAGGTCTCATCTCTCCCGAGAAGATGGGGCTATAGAGTCCCCTAGGCCAAACACTCTTTCTCCCTCCTCTGCTGCCCCTGCTCCCCTCCAAATTCTGGCCAAAGTAGATCTGGGAGACCACGAATCCTACATAATAATGGTGAAACCCCTAAGCTCTCCTTTTGTTGTTCTTTATTTATTTGCAGCAGGGATAAGAAAAAACGTAAGACAGGAGTTTTCAACTTTTCCATCAACACCCCTGCACTCCAAGAGTGATGTTCTCTTGCTTGCTGGGTCAGCTTCTAGGCCTTTCTTTGTTTGGAATGTGGGTGGTAGGTAAACACGAAAACAAAAAGAAAAAAATTGAGCTGCTAAATTGATCTCATTTAAAAAGAGCTACTATGGGCTGAATTGGATGCCTTATTAGTCAGGGTCTAATTACAGATAGGAGCCCTAGCGGCAGAGTGGTTAAGAACTCGGTTGCTAACCAAAAGGTCAGCAGTTCAAATCCACCAGCTGCTCCTTGGAAATCCTACGGGGCAGTTCTACTCTGTCCTATAGTGTCACTATGAGTTGAAACCGACCCGATGGCACCTAACAACAACAACAGTTAAAAATAAGAAATTGCTCTAGATATTTTATTGGGAGGGAGGGATTTAATACAGGAAATTCGGTCTTACAAAATTGTTGGAAGGACTGAAGGTGGGGGCTCTAGGCTGGATCTCCAGGAATGAGGCCCCAGAACTGGCTCAACCAGGGAGTTCACATCTGCCACCAACAGGAGGGTAAGAAATCAGGAAGCCAATACTCAAACAGTTGGCTCTAAGAATGCACCATCTTAGCTGTGTCCAGGGATAAGAAAGCCGCCATTAACAACTGCTGCAAATGCAAGATCTGCTCCAGCAAAACATGGATGACCCAGGCTTGGCTGCTTATCTCCCACAAAGTCAGCGCTCAGATACTGAGGTGTCTGTGAACACCGTTCACCAGTGCCTCCAGCAGGGCTGCCACCTCACTCAACTCTAGGGAATGCAATTCACATCACAGTCCCATGAATGACCTCTCCGCAACTGATGGGCAGGGTGCCCCCTGCAGTCTGTACGACTGTACATGGTGGCCTAGCCTTCACGACAGACACAGGAGCAGCAGAAATCAAGCATCTACTTCCTTCCACCTGCCAAATCGCACCGGTGCATCTGACTGACGGAACCTCATTCACATAAGAACACTAGCTGCAAGGGAGTCTGGAAAATGTACTTTTTAGCTCTCTAACTTCTGTAGTTCAGGAAGACACACCAAAATAATGGCCTTAAAACTTTTTTGACCTCCAAGCACAGGAAAAATAACTTTTACATTGCACCTCCCCCCCTCCACATACACAACTGAAATAAAAGTTTAATGAAAAATAACCAAATCAAACCCCTTGCTATCGAGTCGATTCTGACTCATAGTGAGAGAGTATAGAGAGAGTAGAACTGCCCCACAGAGTTTCCAAGGCTGGAACCCTTACGGAAGCAGCCTGCCACATCTTTCTACCACAAAGCAGCTGGTGGGTTTGAACTGCTGAACTTTTTGTTGGCAGCTGAGCAGTTAACCACTGCGCCACCAGGTCTCTCGAATTTGTGCAGTGTACCCTAATATTTTCTATTCTATCCTGTTCTGTCTTATCTAATTAATCATATCTGATTTCTATTCCATTCCATCCCATCCCGTTAAAAATTACTGGCAAGGATCTACCAAACTGAAATCCTACTGAGAAGGATGGATTGGATATTAAGCCCCAATGCATCACACTTGCCATAGAGATGGACACTTGTGAGGGGTGGGACCGGCAGCTGAGAGATTGTGAACCACTAGTCTAGGACAGTTGTCTTAGTCATCTAGTGCTGCTACAAAAGAAATACTACAAGTGGATGGCTTTAACAAAGAGAAATTTATTCTCTCAGTTTAGGAGGCTAGAAGTCTGAATTTAGGGTGCCAGCTCCAGGGCAAGGCTTTCTCTCTCTCTTGGCTCTGGAGGAAGGTCCTTGTCATCAATCTTCCCCAGTCGAGGAGTTTCTCAGAGCACGGACTCTGGGTCCAAAGGACATGCTATTCTGCTGGCTATTGTTTCTTGGTGGTATGAGGTCCCCATGTCTCTCTGCTTGCTTCTCTCTTTTATATCTCAAGAGATTGGCTTAAGAGGCAACCTAATCTTGTAGATTGAGTCCTGCCTCATTAATGTAACTGCCTCTAGTCCTGCCTCATTAACATCATAGAGGTAGGATTTACAACATGTAGGAAAATCATATCAGATGTCAGAACGGTGGACAATGACACCATACTGTGAATCATGGCCTAGCCAAGTTGACATACATTTTTGGGGGACACAACTCAATCCACAACAGACAGTAAAGACATCCCAATGCCATTTTCTCAGCCTCCTTTGCACCTATGGGGAGTCATGTGACACAGGCCTGACCAATGAGATGTAAGGATAGTCTTCAGGGGGACTTCTGAGAAATATTTTGCTACTGATTGTAAAATGGTAGTAGTAGCGTCAGAACCTGTCTAACTCCCCAGCTCTACAGCAAGAGAGAGAGACAGAGAGTCAGAGAGGGACCCTGAACTTACAAGACCTCCAGAGCAAGTGCTTCCTTAAATTTTGCACTGTAGATGCCTTACTCCCTCATTTTTGTCCTGACTTTGGGTGGAAGAGATGTTGAGCACCCATCCACTGTATCTATCACCCCACCTTCAGGGAAGGGGCCCCCAGTTGGGGTCTGCTTTCAAATGTTTCATTAGGTTGACGCAAGGTTAAGTAACTGCCCTCAGGTGGGGAGTTAGAGCTGATTATATAAGAATACAATCTTCCCCCGAAGCCCACCCCTTCCGTCCCCTCCAGCAACATCCGTCATGACTCATTAACTGGAATGAGTCTCTTGCTTATTCTAAGCCCAATCACTGGTAAAGGAAATGGGATTATCAAAACTGGTTGAGATGCTTTTGAAAGGGTGGGTTATCATCATGGATTAGGACAAATTTAGCAGATTGTAATCAATATTACTTTAAAAAATGAAATGGAGTAGAAAATGCCAGCATACATTGCTTACAGTAAGCATAAGCATAATTTTGTAAAATTTGCTTCAGCTCTGTGTGTGTGTGTGTGTGTGTGTGTGTGTGTGTGTGTGTGCATGCACATGTGTGCACTGTGTAGTAATGCAATTTTTTTTGCTCCTATTGGGAAAAAAGATTGAAAACTGCTGACTTTCATCAATTGTTTGGGATACAATTAATGATGGGAAGTCAAACAGAATGATCATTCTAGGGACTTCTGCTAAAACGTCACTTTCTAGCTGATGTGTTCCCTGAATTCCATACTCCGCTCCCACCCCAGACAAGGTACGGTTCTCCATTACACACGCAATTGTACCTTTAAAACTCTTACTGCAAGCGTAGTTATCGATTTATTTACTGCCTCCCTCCCTTACTAGAGCATAAGTGCTGGGAGTGCAGGGGCCTCCAAACCGAAATGCCCTCAAAAAGCTAGGGACCAGTGGACGGTTTAGAGCTGGACAGATCTGGTTCCAGTCCTAACTTTGCCACTTGTTATCCATGTGACACCAAATAGACCACCTCACCTCTGCTGTAGGGGAAAAATATCACAAAGGTTAGTAAAACAAAAGGAAAGTTTTATTCGGCATATATTCAAAAAAGCAGAAGTGGGAAACAGACAAGCATGCCGCCAGAAACATGTCTGCCTGAATCCAAGGAAGTATCACAGAACAGACCAAAGTGGGAAACAGACAAGCATGCTGCCAGAGCCATGTCTGCCTGAGTCCAAGGAAGTATCACAGAACAGACCAAAGTGGGAAACAGACAAGCATGCTGCCAGAGCCATGTCTGCCTGAGTCCAAAGAATATTACAGAATAGGAAAGAATAGGAAAACGGACAAGCACGCTGCCACAGCTATGTCTGCCCGAGTCCAAGGAAATATCACTGAACAGACAAAAGTGGGAAAACGGACAAGCATGCTGCTAGAGCCTTGTCTGCCCGAGTCCAAAA